CCAAATTTTTCCCCTGCCACTTATTTCTCCTGGTTTTAGTTTGAAACATTTCTAAGCTATGGAAAAGTTGAATGAATAGTACAATATTTCAACATTATAAACCATTTCCTTGGTTGACAATTTGACCACAATAACCATAGCTATGACATTTACTATATTTTCTTTCTGACTTTGAACACACAAGGACATGGTATCGGCTCAGCCATTTGCAAGTGACTTACAGACATTGGGAAACCTCACCCTTAAATCCATTGTGATATATCCTAAGAACAAAGCCATTCCTTTACATAAACACAACAATAAGTTTAATATTTACTATTGCCTAAAAAAAAGCCAATATTCAAATTTCCCAAACGCCAAAAAATGTCCTTTGGAAACATTTTTAATCCAAAGATCCAATTAAGCTTCACAAATAGCATTTCATTGTCCTGTCTCCAGTGTCATTTAATCTGAAGCTGTCCTGCCAGGTATTTATATTCATGAACATGATATATTTTAAAAAGCTCAAGCCAGTCATCTTTTAGAATGTCCTATATTATGAATTTATCTTATTGCTCTTTTGTTATTAGATTCAGATAGAAAGTTTTGTCAAGAACATGTATTTACACCAGGAGGCACACAAAATCACATTCTATGCATTAAATTCATCTACGTTAAGGTTAGTCACTCTGGTTGCAGGGTGTCTAACCGATCTCCCCATTGTGAAGATATATTCTTCTCTTTGGAATTAATATGATTATTATAAATTGAGTCTACATAAATGATAAATTCTCTAAAAACTCAGGGGTTTTAGAATGTATGAACCTTGTTTGAATTCACTATTACATTTAAATGTTTATTACATTGACTTTTTTCTATAGTTTTATTTTTCCCCTTTTTTACTTCTTCCCTCTTTAAAATATCTATGTTCATATGGGTTATTTTAAAATTCAATATTCTGTAATCCATATAATACTATTTAAAATCTCAGCTTGACCCACATTTGGTCCTTCAAGCCGAATCTTGTGTCTTGTCAGTCTTTGGGCATTTTCTTTGTTTCTGTCTCATCAAAATGTTCCAAGCTAGCTGAGTACAGTGCCACACTGGGAGGCAAAGGCAGTAGAATTGCAAGTTTGAGCCCAGTTTGGGCAATTTAGCAAATTAGCAGCACCCTTCCTCAAAATAAAAAATAAAAAAGGGTTAGGAATTCAGCTTAGTGTGAAGACCTGGAGTTCAATCCCTAGCGTGCACACACACACACACACACACACACACAAGTTGTTTCAAGGTCATCTTGTGTTTTATCTGTCTCAAACCTGGAACCATTTTTTTCACACTGGTTTTGAGGGGCAGTATTTAGAAACCAAGTTCAAGCAAAGAAACTAAATGTGCTGATTGCTAGTAGGTTATGGCTTCCAGGACCTTTCAAAGAGCAGAGACAGAGGCAGTAGAATGGGGTGGGGGCACACACACACACACACACACACACACACGCATGCACACACACATGTGGACATTTATACAAATACTTCCTGTTCAAAACCAGTAACACATGGTCCTTATTTACTATCATTAGCCTGATCACAACATCAATGAATTTACTCACTTTTAATGCTCTAAAATTGTTTCAGAAAAAATTGTTTCAGAATTATTTATTAAACACTCAGCAACATTATCATCTTTAAACACATTTAACATTAGAAGTACCCACATTGTCCTGCTGAAGTCACATGCAGAAAGCTATCAGGACTCCAGACAGCAGCCAGAGATAATGCAGGCTGTGTACAAGTCAAAACTGGAGTTGGATTACCTTGCCACAACTGCTATTTGATATTTTTTTTAGAGTACCCAGAAGGACAAAGTTCAAAACAGGATACTGATAACTGTTACTTTTTTATGGTGGTAGTACTGGGGATTGAACCCAGGGTCTTCACACTGAGTTACATTCCCATCCCTTTTCTTTATTTTGAGACAAGGTCTTGCCAAGTCACTAATTTTCCAGGTTAGGTGCAAACTTGAGAACTTCCTGCCTGAGCCTCCCAAAGTGCTGGGGTCATAGGTGTGTACTGTACCAAGCTTCTGTTGACTTTCATTTTATCTGACAGAACACTATTTCCCTTTTCCAAATCTATCCTCTTCGATGTCTGCCACGTGTTTCAAAATAGTTCAGTAGGGTAGGGAGGAATGAGAATAAGAAGGTGATGATGTGGTACATGAGTGATGGGCACATGCATTTTTTTGGTGCTATTTGTAATCTACTTTCGTGGATCTTTAAAATTTTTGTATCATAAAAAGATTTTTAAAAACATGTACCTGTCAAATCAAAGTAGATGGAAGCTTAAATGGCGAGCACTGACTCAAATAAAAAGCAAGTATGTAAATGTGACCTTGTTGCATTACACAGGATGTGGTCGTGAGCTCTAGCTTGCCTTAAAAATGTACAATATATATCTGGAGATAACTTTGTGTACCAGGTCACAAAGGCTAAAGGAGATTGCTAGATTGCTGCTGGATGGATTTCCGAGAGATGTCACAGAAACAACTGCCTCTGAACCGGGAAGGTGCCAACAGAACCAAGAATGACTCAGACAAGCCCAGCTTGGCAAGTAAATGGGTTCCTTAGGGGTGACTTGCAGAGTGATGGATGGCTGAGGGACAGCTGCACTACCAAAGCCAGTCTTCACCTCTCTGGATACCAAGCTCCGGTTTATACAGGCCTGGAAGTTAAATCGCAAAACAACCAAAGGCAAAATCAGAATCCATGGGAAGAATTGTGTTTATGTGTACTCTGTTCCCATCCATATCAGGAATTCCACAGGTCTCAGCAAACACAGGGATGGACAGCTCTACTTGATGCAGTCTGCCATGTACCTCAGGACCTGTGGAAGCCCATGGGACAGTGAGGTAGCAAAAGTAGTCACCTTGGTCAGGGCTTAGAGAACTGTTCTATGGTTAGCCTTGTCTTCATCTGTTTTCTGTCTCTGGAGCTAAATGCCACAGACTGGGTGATTTAGAAAGAACAAAGGTTTGTTTGGCTCACAGTTCCAGAGGCTGGGGAGTTGAGAAGATGGTGTTAGCGTCTGTTCAGCATCTGGCAAGGACCTTCCTGCTATCATAACATGGTGGAGGCCAACAAATAGTGGGACAGGTCATGTGTGCTGGATCAAGTTTCTCTTCTCTTTTGATAAAGCCACTGAGGCCACAGTTGGGTCTGACCCTCATATGTCATCCAATCCTTATTCCTTCCCCAAGGGCTCACCTCCAACTGTCATTAACATATGACTCTGAGTACTGTTTCTACCACATGAACTTTTGGGGGACATGTTCAAACCACAGCACTCTCCATAGACAAACTACCAGTTGTGGAAGGACAGTGACTTTCATTTTGTTGAATGACTGTCACTAGAAGGAGATTGGATGATGACAGTATTTCCATATTTCAACTGTTGCATATGCCCTTTGGGGTCAGAGGTTTAAATTCTCCTCATGGTCCAATGTGAAATCTCCTGGGCTACAGCATGAGAGGGTGTCTGCCACAGCCAGATCTTCTGTGAGGCAAGGCACAATTTAACAGAAAGGAAGGCATTATATACATGAACCCCAATCTTGAAAATTCAATTATTCAAAAGATAAAACCAGGAAACATGACCGAGATCTTCCACATTGAGGCAATGTTAGTGTGTTTCTGAGAAAAGGATGCCAAAAGACTGTCTAGGTGAAGAGGAAGCCTTAACTCTGAAGAGACTTTTATATAACACTTGTGTGCTGAAAGCATAATTACAAATAAAATACAACCTTAAGGATAATAAATCTTCTAAGAAAGCTTTCTTCCTTACTTTATTTTGTTAAAATCAGAAAGGGGCTAAGAAAATACAGAACCCTAAAAATATTGTAGAAAGTGGGAACACTTGACCAGATCTGACCTCTGTTTCCCAAGAGGAACAACATGACCAGGATTTTTGCTTTGTCACCAAGCTGGCCAATTGTAGCTCAATGGGAACTTTTTTCCTACCGACCAAACAGACACAGACGCAGACATAGACACAGACACAGACACACACACACACACACACACACACACACACACACAAATAATAACAACAGCAACAACAACACAAACTTCTATTAATGTGCACATTGGGAACTGCATTTAAAAAAAATAAAAGTTGCTAAGCAGTCCATTCTGTCTATGATCCCCCTGGTGACTCTGAACAACAGACCATAATTTTTTGCCCTTAGCTTGATGATGAGCGAGCATGTGTGAAGCCCCAATGTACCAACACCCCTGCTTACATGAACAGAATTTATGTACTGTATTCCACCTTCACCAGAGGAAATGTTGACCCTGAAATGTTACTGGAAACCTCTGCAGTAGGCTCCAGTCTCCTGCCCAGTGTATGTAGGCGTGAGGAAAAACACCAAAAGACAGACCTAAGAGAGACAGAAAGCAGGGTGACAGGATGACCAATGCCAATGCAAATGACAAAGGCTCTGGCCAGTCCAAGCCAAATTTTTATTAGTAATCAATTGGGGTAAAGGCACGCCACCTGCAAGGGCAGAGCTATGCGTGAGGACACACGTGGTGCAGTTTCTATGGAAATTAACATAAGCAAGGTTCATAAAGGACATGATAAAGCATTCTCAAATTAGGAACAGAATAGACAAAATATATAGTTGTAATTAGAACACTGTCCTTCTAGTGAGAAGGTTTTAGTTAATGGAAACGGAATTTGGGTGCAAGTTACTCTGACCTTGGGACGTAGGCTTCGGCTGGACCTGCTTTTCAAAACAAGCCAATTATGAGGTTAATTCTTCACAGCCTGCACTGCTTATAGCCTTGCTTTGGACACAATCAATACTGTGGTCCCCTACATCACCAATCCCAACATGAAATTTACAGAAAATCAGGAGTGTCTGGGTGTTGAAACAACAGCAAGCCCATGAGTGTTACAGGAAGACTGGACTCAAAGACAAGTTCAGATGCCTACCAAAAATTTATCAAACACACAGAGACACTTTTGGGCCATTTTCAGTCACAGAATTTTATTTTTAAACCAACTGTAAGTACCCAAAGGTTAAAGTTCAAAAAACAAAACAAATGGATCATAAACAACCACAGCTCATTCTAGTGGCTGAAGAATTCTACTGAATGTCAAACAAAGGATGACTCTGGACTTGAGAAAGGGTCTTGTTAGAATGTTGGTCAGCCTTCTTGAAGAAACCATCTGTGACTTTCCCATTTAATGGGCTGCTGGTCTTAACTACCAAAGCATTCCTTTTCCTAAAGGAAAAGACTAGTAATAAATATTTATATGTATTGTACATTATCTAATAATCCTTACTATCATTTTAGAAAGTCTTATGAAATAAAAAACATGAACTACCTATTGGTATAGTTCCTGTTGGTGTCTGAATGATTTATTGAATGAATACCTTAAACTTTATCTAAATTTGTCACTCTCCCATCTCAGAAACTAACAAAACAACCCTGATTAAACCCCACTGGTTATTAGTTTAGTGACTAGTTCAAACAGGACTAGCAGGAAAGCTAACCCGTAAGGTTTATGACATAAGCACTTATGCATTCTTAAGTATTATCTGGGCCAAGATAAGTTTACACAGATTCTACTACCTAGCCTTGGAAATATCTGAAAATTCAGGGGAAAAAGAGAGAAATCAGCACCCATAACACAATGCATGGCACATCTATTCCTGGCCAGCCATCATGTTGAAAAATCTTTATTTTTTGGCTTGTTTCACTTTTCCTTGATCATCCACTTTCTTAATGGCTGCCTGGATGGCCTCTTGGTTCCCCAGAAACTGGTGAGGCCCAACAGCACACAGATTTTCATCCAGCTCCAGGAGAATGGGGACTCCAGTAGGTAGAGTAATGTTGATGATGTCTTCATCTGAGATACCTGGTGATCAGGGAGAAAGGACAAGGTGTTAAAGACAAACTCAGGAGGAGTTAACTGTTTAACTACACATTGATGGAACCTCCTATTAACTGTGCGACTGACACCATGTCAGGTATTGTAAGGGGCTCCAGTTACAATTCCAGGATGTTAGGAACTTTCTAGAAATTAAAAAAAAAAGCTTAGAGATTCACACGGAGTGCTACATCCTGGAAGAGCAAATACCTTTTGGGCAACCTGTTCCTGGCTACTTCCTATCTAAATCTGAAAGAGAATAAAAATTATCTTCTCTAGGCTGATCTTAAAATTACTTTTCATTAATATCTGTATTCAGTTCATTTGATTAGAACATCATTGGGTTTCCAACACTAAGTGAGACTGAAATACCCTGGACCAGACCTGATCAGCAGAAATTCTCTCCCCTAGGTGCTCAGGAAGCACACCACAGGGAAATTAAGAAAGGACTTTACAGCATGATTTGTAAACAGGTATCATTCTCCTGCTGTCCTTTAACAACTCAACTGCTAAGACAGGAAGATGTATGTAATGGACAGATCACCTTTAATTCTTTTTAAGAAGCAAGTGAATTATATAGGTAATTCAACTTCTACCTGAAGAGTTGCAGTTGTAGTAGTAACTGTGGTTGTAATAATATTTTTATTAGTACAGCTTCTTCCAACAATAAATAATGTCCTCAGAACATGCTACTGTACAGGCCAGGTGGTTTTCTAAGCACTTTATATGTACCATCTTATCACTGCCATCCTATGAGAATATAAGTTAGTATTTTCTCCATGTAGGAAGTTCTGGCACATAGAAGTTAAGCAAATAATTCAAGATCATGCAGAAAGTAAATAGCAGAATGTGGATTCAAACTCAGGTGTCTGTACCTATTGCATAATGTAATGGCTCTCAAGTTTCTCTGCATTCAAAATGGGCAAAGAGAAGGTAAAAGGAAAGAGATGGAATTGAGTAAATTAAAAGGAAACAAAGTATTCAAGTTATCTACTTTTAAAACACACCTTTATTAATCATATAGACTTCTAAAATCTAGTATGTGCTCTGTTCTACATTAATAAAAAGGATCCAGTTAGAGAAAGTTTGGGGAGAAGCCAAGGGTTTGACTTTACTTGATAGGGGGAGAATAAGTTATTCCCAGTTAGTTATCAATGTACGTTGTCATTTTAATAGTTAATTGCTGGTTGTAACATGAGCAATGGCCAAGATCACAGAATCACTGCTTTGGATACTTACTGCCTGCATAGCTCTTCCAATTTCATGTCTAGGCCCAGAGAAGCTACCTAATAACTCCTATGCACAAACTATCCATTCTCAAACAGCTATGAAACAATGGAAAGAATCTTAATTTGGAAGACTAGGTGAAGACATATTCTCCCTCTAAGAGCATTACACATGGCTGTGGGACAGGAGAGATGCCTTAAAAAAGAAGTGTAGCACAATAAATGTTTCTTTCCCTTCTAGGAATGGTCTTCTAGGTAGAAGATATAAGAGGAAGGCTGCTGACTCAACATCTACATTGCCCAGCCCCACTCTCACATTCAACCGTACACAGGATTATCACTGCAAACTAAAGATGGCAAGAACAGATACCTCTGGACTAGAAACCCAGGTGTTCAGCAGGAAGAGGACTGTCCTAGATTCTGGGAGCCCTCTGGCTCCATCAGTGGGATGGGCAGGAGCTGCCACGTGCATCCCAGAGAGGGAAGGAGGGGGGTTCAACACCGTGTGGTTTAGAGCCAGGTGACCAATACAGCTTCATAATCCAACAGTTCCCACTCTCTAATCTGGGGGAGCTCTGGGGGGGTCCCCAAGCCTAGAGCACCCAACTAACTGGGAGTCAAAGGTCTTTCATAGGGAAGGACATGTGCCACCTGGGCCAGGATTTTATGGCAATGAACTATTTCTTCATTTATCAAATGGGAGAGGATAGTCAATTCTAGCACCAAAATTCCTCTAATTTATTCTTAATGGTTAAGAAAAGCAGGGGCTTGTGTTGAAGTTGTTGCATTCCGAACTTACTTTGTATTCATAAAAAACAAAAATGAGAAAAAATTTTAGAATATTCAATATTTTAACTTTTCATAAAGTTTCAGACTTCAGAGTATCAACAAAAGATACTGAAAACATGTTGACTTTTACTTTGTGGAAATTACTATATATGATCTGATATCTTAATTTTCTGTAAAGCTGTGTGAATTAGGAATATCTTTATAAATATATAGTTAACTAAAAGTTAATGGTAAAAATGAATAACTCAGTGGTATGATTCAACAGTTAAGTTATTTTCCAGATATAGTTCACTGTTTGAAATCTATATATTATTTTATAATGGTAAATGCTCTAAAAAGAATATTTAAGCTACTTCAATTCTAGTACTTTCCCCTCACATCCCAGGACATAACAGAATATTGTAATCTTATACCAATGTGTGTGAATTTTGCCTCATTAAACATTGTGTCTTATTTATTAAGTTGTTTGGTTGGAATCCAGTTCTATATTTTGGAAAATTTAACAGTTTTTTCTTAATTAACAAGAATTTACTTTTAAAAAAATCTAAAATCCTCATGTTTATATTTGCCTGTTACTTTTATATCATTGTTTATCTGCTTATTGAATTTATTCAATACATAAATTTGTAAATTTAAAAAAAAGCAGAGGCACCTTACAGGCATGATAAACATGGGGATACTGAGTATTATTTACATTCATCTGTTGTGGAAGGACCACGCTTTATCTGTTTCTACAGTCTATAAGCATATTGCTCACTGAATTGGAGAGAAAGGTGGATTTTATGAATTTCTCTAATTAGTCAAAATTCTCCCAGCAGAAATCAAATTTTTAGGGATATAACTAGTAAAAATGATCATGTTTGACTAAAGTTTACCAATAGAAATACAAGATATGAGTGTACCTATCTATCAGCATCTCAGATTCACCACTAACAGGTTATGTGCCTTTACAATGTCACTGACTATCAACCTTTACTGAAGTTCTTGGACACAGGAGTTTATTTTTAAAAGACTAAACATTCTACTTGTATTCAATATTGTATTAGAGCTTCTAGCCAGGACAACTAGGTGAAAAAATGAAATAAAAGGCACCCATATTGAAAAGAAAAAAGAAGACTATCTCTATGTGCAGATGACATGATCCCACCAAAAAAGACAACTACAATTAACACTGTAAACAAGATGTCAGTAGGTAAGCCTGCAGGATACAACACCAATACCAAAAAAATCAATTGTATTTCTATACAATAGCAATGAGGAACAAAAGTGACGTTAAATAAATAATACTATTTATAATAACATCACAAAGAATAAATTATCAAAAAAGTACAAAACTTAACTTTGACCACTATAAAATATAGCTCAAATTAGCAAGACATCCCATGTTCATGGTTTAGAAGACTTAACTTCAGCTGACTTTTCTTTGCAGAAACTGATAAACTGATCTTAAAAACTCATATGGAAATTAAAAGCATTCCAACTAGCCAAGACAATATTATGAAAGAAGAAAGTTGAGAAACTACATCACGATAGTGTGGTGCTTGCATACAGTATGCAGTACTCATCCAAGGATAGACATATACATCGAATTGAGAATCCTAAACAAACCCTCAAGTTGTTGATCAACTGATTTTTGACAAGTGTGCCAAGGCAATTAAATACAAAAAGAACAATCTTTTGAACAAATGGTGGTGGGATAGCTGCATAGCCATATGGCAAGAGAATAAAGCTGAACCCTTCCCTCATACTATCCATAAAAAATACCTCTAAAATAGATAAAAACTTAGATGTAAGTACTAAAAGTCTTAGAAGAAAACACAGAGCAAAACTGTCACAAATTTGCATTGGATAGGTACCAAAAGTACAGCAATAAAAGAAAAAAAATAAAATTGGTATATAAAAATTGTACTTCAAAGGACACCATAAGAACATGCAAATACAACCAGAGAATGAGAATTTTTTTTTTTTTTTTTTTTTTGCAAATCATACATCTGATTAGGGACTTCTATCTAGAATATACAAAGAGCATTTGCATTTAAAAAATAAAAGACAAATGAACAAATTAAATTAAGGGCAAAAGATCTGAGCAGACATTTCCCCAAAGATACACAGATGGTCAATAGACACAGGAAAGGATGGTTAATATCCTTAGCCATCAGAGAAATGCAAAGTCAAACCACAAGGAGGTCCTATTTTCCACCTACTAGAATGGCTATAATTGAAAAAATATATATAAATATAAAAAAATATATATATACACACAAATGTTATCAAAGACATGGAGAAATTAGAGCTATAATCCACTGTAAAATTAGGACTGCAAAAGGCTGTAGCTTCTTCGGAAAACATCTGGTGGTTCCTCAAACAGTTAAATACAGTTACCATATGATCTAGCAATTCTGCTAGGCATACACCCAAGAGAACATAACACAGATCCACACTGAAAGTTGTACACAAACCTTCACAGTAGCATTATTCATAACAGCCCAAATGCCCATTAACTAATAAACAAATACATTAAATTTAATATAGCCATACATTGGAATATCATTTGGGAGTAAAAAGGAATGAAATACTGTTACAACATAGTTGAGCCCTGAAAACATTAAGTTAAAAAAAAAAACAGTGACAAACACCATATTTTGTATGACTCCATTAATCCAAAGTGTTCAGAACAGGCACGTTCATTATGGTACACAGCAGACTAACTGTTGAGAGAGCTGGAGCAATGGGAAGATGGGGAGTGGTAACAACTGAGAGACTGAAGTTTCTTTCGGAGGTAAAAAAAATATATGAGTGTGTGTGTGTGTGTGTGTGAGTGTGAGGTTGAACACACCTATCTCCTCAAATATCCATCATTTCATTACAGTGAAAACATTTTTAATCCTTTCTTCCAGTTTTTAAATATACAGTCTATAATTATTACCTACTGTCACTCTATAGTACAACTGCACACCAGAACTTTTTCCTCTC